TTTAGCTGGACTTACAATAAGAACATCATCATCACAAGCAAGCTCTTCAAGTAAGAAAGGTAAAGATCTTGTTGAAACAAACAATGCTTCAGATTCATCTCCAAGTATCAAAAACTCTCCTTTCAATTCACCTTCTCTTGTGTCCCCACCATCTTCTGCTTTTGTTTCCGCTTTACAATCTCCTTATATATCCCCAAGAGCCACCACACAACCAACCATTACTACCACCACTCAAAAGCCATCACCGCCTCTTTCTTACAAAGGCTCACAATCTGAACATGTACCAAGCACCTCCTACACTCCTCCTTCTGACGACTTTTCCGATGACCCACCAGATCGGAAACTCAAGTTATCAGCTTGTACTCCAGATCCTGCTCCTCCTAGGATCTCTTTCTCTTTCCCTGTTCCTAGGGTTTCTTTGGCTAAAGTCTCTGTTTCTTCACCTGCAACTAACACCAAGCTCAGGAGCTCTGATGTCTTCATAGGGTTTCATGGACAAAACCCAAACTTGGTGAGATTCTGCAAGTGGCTTAAGTCAGAGCTCGAGCTTCAGGGTATTGCTTGTTTCGTCGCTGACAGAGCCAAGTATTCGGACACACAGAGCCATGAGATCGCCGACAGAGTTATCTGTTCTGTTACTTATGGGATTGTGCTTGTCTCCTGCTCCAGCTTGCTCAACTACCTTAGCTTGGAGGAAGTTAGATTCTTTGCTCAAAAGAAGAATCTGATTCCCATTTTCTATGGAACTGGACCTTCTGAGATAATGGGTCTTCTCAACTGCAATGCCATAGATAAAGAGTGTAAAGAAGCCATTGATGGGTTGATCAAATGCCATGAGTTTAAGCTTGAAGCTAATGAGAGTAATTGGAGAAGCTGTGTGGGAAAGACAGCTGCAATTCTCAGGGCAAAGCTAGGGAGGAAGAGTGTGGTTGATAAAGAGACAGTGGATGGGATTGAGGAGCTTCCTGTCCCGAGGAACAGATCTTTTCTTGGAAGAGAGAAGGAGATAATAGAAATGGAGATGGCTCTCTTTGGTAATGGAGAGTATCTTGAGTCTACAACACCAAGCACTAAAGGAGAAGCAAGTGGACAATCTGAAGGACTTGCTGATGAGGAATCAGATGTTGTATCAACTCGAAATGGGAAATTTATCAGCTTGGAGCTTGGAAAATGCTCGGAGACAACAAGTGAGGCTTGGAGTGATCCAAATGGTGGAAGAAACTCGCTTAAAAGACTGTTGAAGACTAAGAAATATAGAAACACTAGTAACTGCAAAGGTAGCACAAGCGTTGTTTGCGTTAGTGGAGTCCCCGGGATTGGGAAGACAGAGTTAGCTCTTGAGTTCGCTTACCGGTATTCTCAGAGGTATAAGATGGTGTTGTGGGTCGGAGGAGAAGCTCGATACTTCAGACAGAACCTGTTGAATCTGTCATTCAGTTTGGGGCTTGATGTGAGTGCTGATGCTGAGAAGGATAGAGGCAGGCTAAGGAGCTTTGATGAACAAGAGTTGGAAGCTTTCAAGAGGATAAAACGTGAGCTTTTCAGAGACATGCCTTACCTGTTGGTCATTGATAATCTTGAGATAGAGAAGGATTGGTGGGAAGGGAAAGATCTGAATGATCTGATTCCGAGGAACACTGGAGGTACTCATGTCTTGATCACTACTAGACTTCCTAAAGTCATGACCTTTGACACAGTGCAGCTTTCTGTATTGCCTTTGTCTGATGCAATGGTGATACTGAGAGGGAGAAGAAAGAAAGACTACCCGGCTGAGGAGGTTGAGATCCTCAAGCTTTTCGATGAGAAATTGGGACGGTTGAGCTATGGACTTTGGGTGATTGGATCATTGCTTTCAGAGCTTGCAATTCCACCTTCTGCGCTCTTTGAAGACGTGAACAAAATTCAAATCGAAGAACGTTCAGCCTCGCCTTTTCTAAACTTAAACGATGAGCAATATTGCAAAGCTAATCCATTTGTTGCAAAGGTCTTAGCTTTTAGTCTGGCTGTATTGGAGCAAGCTGAAGGAAACAGAAACCTTCTCTCATTGAAAATGCTACTCGTGGGAGCTTGGTTTGCTCCGGTCCCTATCCCGGTTAACTTGCTAGCTGCAGCGGCTAAGAACATGCCCACAGGTGGAAACCGGTTCAGCAAATGGAACAAATGTTTGAGCCACACATTTGCTTGGTGTGGTGGTTGTGGTCTAGGACGCAGAAGCGAAGAGGATGCTGCATTTTTACTAGTCAGATTAGGACTAGCGAGGATAACTAATAGACAACCTGGATGTTGGATTCAGTTCCATCCGATAACTCAAACTTTCGCGAGGAGAAGAGACTACATACTTGCTCCCAAGGCAACGGTTCAAGGCGTGAGGAAAATCGATAACCCGTTATTGAATCTTGATCACCTGTGGGCTTCAGCATTCTTAGTGTTCGGATTCAAATCAGAACCTCCTCTGGTCCAACTACAAGCCATGGATATGGTTCTTTACATCAAGAGAACAGCTCTTCCTTTAGCAATCACAGCTTTCACAACCTTCTCGAGGTGCAACTCCGCGCTAGAGCTCCTAAAAGTATGCACCAACGTGTTAGAAGAAGTGGAGAAATCGTTTGTGTCTCAGATACAAGATTGGCGCCAAGGCTCGCTCTGTTGGAAGAAGAAGACAAACAAGAAGGTCGATGAATACGTGTGGCAAGATGTTACATTGTTGAAAGCTTTATTGCTAGAGACCAGAGCAAAGCTGCTACTGCGAGGCGGGCATTTCGATAGCGGAGAAGAACTTTGCAGGACTTGTATCAGTATCAGAACAGTGATGCTTGGCCACAACCACGAGCTTACTTTGGCTGCTCAAGAAACACTAGCAAAGTTAGTCCGAATGAGAAGCAAGATATGATGAACACACACACAGCCATTTTCCTGTTTATTTCCACATCAATCTAAGCTCAGTTTTGTTCAAGACAGAAAATCATGTAATGGTTACTTAAAACCAGTTAAGAACAATCTTATTCCTATGTACATTACCCACTTCCTTTATTGATCCTAATCTCTTTTTATTATTAGATCAATAAGCATATAATCACTGCAACTTATTAGAGCCTCAAGCAAAACAACATTCAGTGCATTGGATTCTCAAGCTGAATCGTTTACCTAATAACAATAACCAATCAAACAAAAGAGTGAAGCACAGATCTCAGTAACAAACAGACTTGGAAAATGACAAATACTCTTGCAAGAAGTGGGACCAAAGACATACACAGAAAAATAGGTATGGGTGTGAAAATTACTACAATTTAATCAGTGTCTGGGTTTTGCCAACAAGTGTCACTCTCCCTTCTCCTGTTACTGGTCCCAAAAACAACTGCTCAGTTTTGTTTCCTTTTCAAAGAACTAAAAATCTGACTTGTCATAGAAATCAAGCTAGCTTTAATCTTGTTTTAGTTAAGCCATGTTAGTCAGAATCCAAAACTGTTGAAACAAAACAAAAGCAAATTATTGAGGTTATTGAATTGACAATCAAGAGAATAAATGGTTTATTAGTATTTACTACAATTTCTGCCTTTTGGGTCACTGAATTTCTATTGAAGCTTTCAGATTTTAGTATCTAATATAAGTAACATTCAACACCAAAAGCTGTGACTGTAAAAGACACAAGATTTGATACCTGAAAAGTACAAGTTACATGTGAGGAAAATGGATAGAGCAAGTTGTTCTTGACTGTGCGAAACCAATCAAAGAAGAAACTATTTTTCACTTGTTTTGATTATAACTCAAGAAGAAGAGAGAAAAATTCAAAAAACAAGTAATCAGATTTCAAATCATACACAAAATTCACAAACACCAAATCACAAGAAATCAAACAGAGAAGAAACTTCCCCTTTGGAAAAATTTCATAAAGCAAAAAAAAATCCAACATTTAGTAACAAACAATTGGGGAAAAAAGTAAAACTTTCACCGGCAATTAGAACCGATCAAGCCTCCGGTAACAGCATCATCTTCCTCAAGAAAAAGGCCATCGGAATTCCTTAGAACGGAGTGAATGGCGCACAATAGCAAACCAACGACAACACCCACCGCCAAATTCACGGCGGAGCTAGTGAACCAAATGGCCCACACGGAAGCTAGAACCAGAAACAAAACCACTGTCCGATTTCCGACCTGAAACCCCCAGAGAATAAGTGGGTCTTCTCTGAAAAAGTGAAAGAGAAGCCACAAAGCGATGATCGCACCGACGACGATTAGCGCGACGGGGCTAACGGTTACGAGAGCGAAACCGGAGAAAGTGGCGACGACGATCGCGTAGTTGACGAAGAAGTACCGGAAATTCGTCCGAGATCGGAGGAGAAGAGAGGAGAATTGTTCCGGTAGACTAAAGGCGCCGGAAAAGACGAGTTCCGACCAGGGACGGTGGCTAGAGGTAGCGACAGTGAGATTATGGATAGATCGGGAGATAACGTCGCCGTTAGGGAGCGGAATTGATGTGTAGGTCGTCGTCGTCGGAGCCATATTCGAGGATATCATCTGGCGACTTTTCCGATTTGGTTGACCCGACCCGACCCGACCCGAAATGCCACCGAGGATAAAGGTGGCGCTTGATATCTGGAGAAGGCGACCAACGACATTTTAGTCAACCTACTACATTATTCCTTCTACAAACCAATCAAATTTTGCCAGCTCATCTCAAAACTAATTGATGTTTTTGATGCAACCTAATATCCGCATATAAGATAACTCAAGGACAGACAATAAATAATTCTACTGATACTTTTTAATTGATTTCATTTTTTTTTTATTCAAAAAGTAAAATGATAATATTTTTAAGTACAAAATCATCAAACCGTTGCTGTTTAAAAATATGTACTATATTATTAACACATTTACATATTCACCAAAACAAATTAAGCTTACTTGAAAATTATTTAGATATATACTCTAAACTTCTATTTAGTTGAGTTTTTTTTTTGTTAGAGTCTAATAAGACTCATTATATTCGCATAATATTGAAGGAACAAATTATAATATTTCTAATGAATTAGATTTTTTTTTTTATGTTATTTTAATTAAGGGAATTGCCGGTAGTTTCGACGATGTCGGATATCATCAATATGGGAAATCTTTCGCCTACTGACGGAGCAAGGTTAGTTCCGAATCACGCTTATACCGGATTGACTAGAGTAGGGAAGATAAACTTTCCTTAGGTTTGATGCAAGTAATTTCTCGGATTGACCAAATGATATGAAAGTTAAGCTAGCATCGAAGTTCCATCAGTCCTTGTTACAATATGGATTTGGTGCGAATTTTTGTTGAACAGTTGGACAACATATAAATTGTCTGTTGAAGGGGAGAGGTTTGAAGATATATTAGAAGATGCACATCAGGATGTTCTCGCCTCAAACCAAGAAGCCACCTACTCAGAATTGGTCCAATAACAAAGGAGGTTCCGTGAATAACCAATTCCG